AATTAACTCTGATGGACCCGTCCCCCTGGCTTCCGCAGCCGCGTTGGCATTAGGGGCGGATCAAGGAAAACTCCAACACGGGAGGGCCACGAATCGCAGTGGTGCCCCTACCTATGCACAAAATTAAAAACTCAACGGATTTCGGCCACTTAATTTTGGTGGTGCCCTTTTTCCATTTTTATTTTATTTTTTGGTCCTGGCAGGCCTGTGGTAACCCTGGCGGGCCTGTGGGGCCCCTGCTAGGCCGCAGGTGCCCTTGGCAGGTTTGTGGTGCCCCTGGAAGGACTGTGGTGCTCCTGACGAGCCTGAAGTGCAAGCGACAGGCCCATGGTGCCTCTGCGAGGCCGGTGGTGCCCCTGCGAGGCCGTGGTGCCCCTGCTAGGCCGCTGGTGCCCCTGGGCCCTGACAGGACTGTGGTGCGCCTAACAAGCCTGAAGTGTCCCCGACAGGCACGTGATGCCCCTGACAGGCCCAAGGTGCCCCTGCAAGGCCAATGGTGCCGCTGGCAAGCCTGTGGTGCCTCTGGAAGGCCTCTGGTGCCCCTGATGGGCCTCTGGTGCTTCTGGGAGGACTGTGATGCCCCTGGGCCCTGATAAGCCTGAGGTGCCCCTGACAGGCCCGTGATGCCCTTGACAGGCCCAAGGTGCCCCTGCGAGGCCGATGGTGCCCCTGGAAGGCCTTTGGTGCCCCTAGAAGGCCCGTGGTGCCCCTGGCAGACCTGTGGTGCTCTTGCTAGGCCGATGGTGCTCCTGACAGGCCGGTGGTGCCCCTGTCAGGTCTGTGGTGCCCCTGGCAGGCCTGTGGTGCCCCCGGGCTCCAAGGGGGCATGACCCATGTGACCCCCCCCCCTGGATCCGCCACTGGTTGGCACCCATGCGAATTCCAGAAGCACCCAAAAACATTTTGTTTCAATACGAGCGAGCGTGAAACGTTAAAAGCGAAAAGTCAGCAAAAGGTGTGGGGGGGGGAGTTAACATTGCTAGCCCCATCCGAAAGTGGGGGACCATGCCCCCTCCCCCCCCCCCCCTAGTCCTACGCCTATGTCAGTAACCGATCAACTAATGCAAGGCCGCCTAACATAAATTGTTAGTTTACGCCGTTTACGCATTCTGCTGCGCCAGTATTGTCTCTCTTTGTAGCGCGCGCTGCCTCTAAGCTGCCACTTATTGCTTCTGACAAAGTTTCCTTTCATTGGATGTAGGAAAATTACACCAATAACGATGAAGCACAAATGGAAATCTTCATGAAAGGGCAGGCCGGAGAACAGTCAAGTTTGTTCTTCGCCTTGATACCTACCAAGACATTTAAAAGTTCGGCAAAAAGTAGGGGTGGCCAGTTAACATTACTGGCCCCCCACTATGAAAAGTGGGGGGCCGCTGCCTCCCCCCCGTCCCCCCGTTCCTACACCTATGTCATGTCTCTTAACTTATTATTTTTCGGGCCTTTTTCGTCTCTTACAGCTTTTGTTTTGGAGTACCTAACTACCCAATAGAAATATTGGAACTTGGCCAAATAATGAGGCTCATAGCTCCTTACCTCTCCGTTCTTGCATAATTATGTCGCTTAGGTTGGTCGTGGCATGCCAGTCTATGCCCTATGGTATACGAGTCTTATGTTACTTGACTGTGGCGCTAGTCTATGTATTAGCACTGAGTATGTACGAGTATGGTATACGAGGACTGAGGAGTGTGTGGCACCATAAAAAAACTATAAAAAACTGTGTGCCACTTATAGTTTATGGCACAGTGGTGTCTCGTGCTTTAACGTTTTCTCATGCACGGTGATACTTATCGGCATTAGTCCTGTTGTTTTGCACTCCACAGTCCATGCTGTCAGCGCCAGGGTCACTAGTTGCATATTGGTCTGACTGCCATTGCACGCTGCACAAATATTGCTCTCGTGCCGACAACGTCAGAATCGTAATGACTTCTGAGACTACAAAGAAGAAATGCAAACAATGACTTATCTAGAAGGGACCGGATTTGGCGGATCGACCAATGGCAGATTGGCTTATGACCAATAGCCGATTTACCGTTACATTCTGGTTCCGAGCAAATGTCCTTGTGACGCATGGCCCGTGCTCCTTTTTCATCTGTGACGGCATCTTTTGACGCATTCTGGAATGCGAAGCATATGTAATCCACTTTCGTTACAGTGCTGCAAATGTAACTTTAACATGGACCCAATCTTATAAGTGCTTTAGAATATATATGACAGCAGTGGCTGAAGTGAAAATACTACTGGTATCACGTCTGGGGCATTCCACGATAGATCGACCAAAAAAACTTAAAATTTACACCCGCATATTCTATTTTTTGCTTAAAATTGGTCTAATGGGTTGTGATGGGCGGGGAACCCAGCTGTGGCAAGGATTTTTTTTTCTTCGAACAACGGTTTCCGAGATATAGCCTCGGGCAGTTCCTGGAGGTCACGCTGCAACCCTATGTTTGGCGGCTTATAACTCAGAAACTATTGGTTTTCTATGGTAAAAACTTGATGTGGTTCAACTCGCAATCAACCAACAAACGTTTTGGCTATCTCGGATTTTCGAATTTTGAAAATTTTGATCACGTGACATCTTGACCTTTTTTCGAAGAGTGACCTTGATATTTTCCCAACTGAAAGTCGCAATTTTGTCTGATGACGATTAAAGCCTTATCAATTTTCATTCATATGCGATAATAAAAAGTGGCTTTCGGCCTGCGTTGACCTCAGGTCAGGTCATTTTTATGACCTTCCCATTATTACGAGCGGGAGCGACAGCGAGATCTCGAGAACAAAGCAAGATAGCGACAAGCGGTAAACGGCACAGGGTACACATGGATAAGGTCTACAATTTTTACTCAGGTCATTTTCAGGTCAGGTCAAAGATGACGTCACAGGGGTAAAAAGAAAGTCTAAATGGCGCCACTACATATATATGAAGTTTTTCTCGAATAACTTTCAAAGTATTCCAGCTAGGAACAAACTAATAGCACCATCGTGATCCTCTCGTCGATCCGCATCGAAACATGTGTATGTTGACCTCGAAAGGTCAAGGTCAAAAGTTGACCTTAGGTCACGTGACCTTAAGGTCATCATATATATCATTCGATGGGCCCTGACGAGCTGAACACAATGAGCCTATCCGCGCGGCTGTATCTCAAACCTGAAAGGAGTTATTAGCAAAAAACATTTGGTGACCTTTAATGACGTCACATGACCCAAGAGCAACGTCACAGTTGACCAAGAGCAAAAAAAGGTCTGAAGGTAGTCAAAGTTAGTCGCTTATGGAGTCATTTCTGGTATATTAGGCAATTCCGACGCGTTTTAGTGTAAAAATAAGGGAGCTGATTTTTCCCCAATTGACTTATAATGGGGTGGTCAAGAAATTGACCTGACCTCAGGTCATCGGTATCGAAATTCAAAACGAACTAGCGCTAGGCGAAAGCAAACGGATTGGTGCCTATCCTACGTCTCTTTCTTTATTAGATCAAAAGGTACAGCCAAAACTATTTTGACTTCCTTTTTACCCCTGTGACGTCATCTTTGACCTGACCTGAAAATGACCTCAGTAAAAATTGTAGACCTTATCCGTGTGAATCCTGTATCGTTTACCACTTGTCGCTACCTTGCTTTAGTCTCGAGATCTCGCTGTCGCTCCCGCTCGTAATAATGGACAGGTCATAAAAATGACTTGATCTCAGGTCAATGCAGGCCGAAAGCCACTTTTTTATTGTCGCATATGAATGACAATTGATAAGGCTTTAATCGTCATCAGACAAAATTGCGACTATCAGTTGGGAAAATATCAAGGTCACTCTTCGAAAAAAAGATCAAGATGTCACGTGATCAAAATTTTCAAAAATCGAAAATCCGAGATAGCCAAAACGTTCGCTGGTTGATTGCGAGTCGAACCATAAGAAGTTTTTACCATTGAAAACCAATAGTTTCTGAGTTCTAAGCCGCCAAACATAGGGTTGCAGCGTGACCTCCAGGAATTGCCTGAGGCTATATCTCGGAAACCGGTGTTCGAAGAAAAAAATCCTTGGCACAGCTGGCTTCCCCGCGCATAACAACCCATTAGACCAATTTTGAGCAAAAAATAAAATATGAGGGTGTACGGCTTTGATCAATCTATCGTGGAATGCCCCGTCTGGAAATGCTACCAATTGCCGTGAATATAACAGTACGCCCTCGATAAGATTGGGTCATGGTCTGTTTTAGCGACATTTGGTATTTTTATGCACCTTAGACTGGAGTGAATCCTGCCAGCCATTGCAAAAAGATATCTGTGTGTGATTTTTTTTTCTCACATTTTGCATTGCTCACCCAATGCGTCGATAAGTAGATGTAGTTCATATCATGCAGCAAACCTTGATGTATGCCATTGGTGAACTAAAGTGCACGAAAAATAGCTGTACACTCCTGTGCCGCTCGGTCACTGCTGATCTGGGTCACTAGCACCACTGACCTGGGTCACCAGTGCCGCTCGGTCACTGCTGATCTGGGTCACTAGCACCACTGACCTGGGTCACCAGTGCCGCTCGGTCACTGCTGACCTGGGTCACTAGCACCACTGACCTGGGTCACCAGTGCCGCTCGGTCACTGCTGACCTGGGTCACTAGCACCACTGACCTGGGTCACCAGTGCCGCTCACCTGGTCCCGGTTTCTGTCCCCGCTGACAGGCCGCCGCCGCCGTCCCGCTGACCGGCCTCGGCTTCCGTCCCCGCTTAGTGCTGACCCAGGGTAATATCACTGACCGGCTGTCCCCGCTGACCCAGGGTAATATCACTGACCGGCCTCCGCCGCTGACCGAGGGTAATATCACTGACCGGCCGTCCCCGCTGACCCCGCTTACCCAGGGTAATATCACTGACCGACCTCCACTGCCGTCCCGCTGACCCAGGGTAATATCACTGACCGGCCTCCGCTTCCGCCCCTGCTGACTCAGGGTAATATCACTGACCGGCCTCCGCCGCCGTCCCCGCTGACCGGCCTCCGCTGCCGTCCCCCCAGGGCTGCTACGTGACGATCCACATCACGCCCGAGACTGAGTTCAGCTACGTGTCGTTCGAGACCAACATCCCGCAGTCGTGCTACAAAGACGTCATCAACCGCGTCGTCGACTGCTTCAAGCCCGGCAAGGTGCTCGTCACCGTCTTCGCCAACAAGGTGGGTAACTTTGCCCATCAACTGGGCGTCAGTTAGCTGCAGCTGAGCTGGCTAACTCGTCCGCTACTTAACTAGTTAAATAGCAGAGCTGCTGTGCTGTCTGGAACTGCGTGAACATTTCGGACACTTGATCTAAGGGTAGGACGAACGTAAGGCGAACGTATGCGACCAGATATAGCTACCACAGCCATTGCATTCGTAGTTTCTTTGAAATTAAGCGTATACCGCCACAACGATCACCGAAAGCCCCTGTTTCGTCCTGAATGCTCATTGCTCAGTGGTGATTCTGGCTCGTACAGAGGTGCGAACTCCCGGGACAACCTCGGCACCGTCCGAGCTCCGCCTGACCCCTCCGTTCGGTGCCCCCCAGTCGTCGGAGGCCAACGAGTTCGCGCGCCAGCTGAAGCTGCCGACGCTGCGCTCTGAGTACCGGCAGCGCGACCTGCAGTACTGCAGCGTGCGCGGCTACGACCTCGTCTACGCGCTGTTCGAGGAGTGGCCCTCCTAGGGACTGGCGCCGCCGGCCCGCCGACGGCACCGCGTCGGCGGACGGCGGCCGCACCGCGCCGCACCGCACTGCGAGCTGAGGAGGGACGCTGGCCGGCGCACACCCGCCACCTGCCGGCGCGTCGACGCTAGCGTGGATAACATCTCCTGAGCCGAGTCAATTAACACGAGTATGGCTGCGTGGATGGGACGGCCGCGGCGGGCGGTGCGCGCCGCCGGTCCGCGGCCGTCGGTAGGCTGCAGCGGGCGCCGCCACGTCCGGGCCGCCCGCTGCCCTCAGGTTCACCCCTGTGATAGTACCGGTCTCCTTCAGGGATGGGTTGTCGTTGGTCGGCCGTGTACTGTGCTGTGTTGGCTGCGTCCAGAGCTACGTCGGCTCGCTAGTCGCTCCTCAGATCTCAATGTGTCGTGTACAAAGCGGTGTCGGCCCGTCTGTCCGCCGCGCGGGCCGTCTTTGTTGGCGCTCCCGTCTCCTTGGTCCTGACACAATGCTCGTCCTGTGTTCACGCTCTGTAGCCTGTTGTGACCCAAAACCGGCTCAGTTTTGCCCCGCCTTGGCAGACCTTCGGGTACAAGATATTAGGATATCGTTACTCAGATACCAGGGAAATTGTCGTTCCTGCTTAAATCCCCCATTTTCTTTAATATGTTCTCAAAAACAAAATTAACGGGATTCGAATGTTAATAGAGTTTTTGGGGTGAATTTTTCACTGCCTTGCTTTGTATGCATCTGCTAAGAAACAAAACGTTTTTTTTATTTATCGGGGCAGCTTTTACCAGGTGCACTTAACATTAACAATTGCTTAACAGTTAATATGCCTTATTGCTATAGATGCAGATCCAGAAGGGTAACCGTTCGGGAGATATGTTGCATGTGCTTTTAGCGTGCATGAACGGGTAGGTCTTGTAAACGTTTAGAAGGGCTATGTTTTGCCATAATTCATCAGTAAAGGGAATGTTAGCTGTTGACAGTTCTCGTGTTTTTCCCCTATTCTTGACGAATGCTAGAAAGAGAACTGCTGATGTTTTCCTTGATATTGTTGTTCTTAATCCTCTGGCTGGACAACATAGGACACGTTCGTAGGTACCACTTTTTCTTGCTCCAGTTTGGGAGCGGCCAGACCCCTTACTTCAGCAGTTTGTGGTTCATGCGTCTTCTCATAGAAGTACCCTTGTGCTGTTAAACGCTGATTTTGTTTATATTGTATGCAGGCATTAACTAGAAGCTCTAAATAATTTGGTCTGACCGCGGCTGTCCGGGTTGTTGGTTCAGGAAGGGTCGGAGTACAGGGGAGTACTAACTTTTCGTGGTGTAAATAGGGAAATTTGGTTAATATGCAATTTACGAGGTTTCTGTTTTTTTTCCGAACTTTAGAGATTCCGGTTTATAAAAGCCGAGCCGTGGCTGTTGCCTTATTTCGGATTTCACTAATAGTATGTAGGACGCTCAGTGTGGCAGGGAAATGCTGCCGCAATTTAGGGTATTATGGACTAACCGTAGCTATTGTTCCTTATTCGGATAGCTCTGCAGTGGTTTATGGCCGTTTGGTGCTTTAGACTGAAGTGAGACCTCTGTAGTTCAGATCTGAAGTAGTTTAGGTGAAAGCCATTTCGAACGTAACAATTAATGATAGTTGAGATCCGATTTTGAACACAGCTTTTGTGTTTTGAAAAGTTTCCTTTCGGTGTATTTTTTCGGTCCAGCACGATCTATTCCCATTTGTTCAGCATTGAGGCGAATCTCGATGGCCTTTTTTGTGTGTATTATACTGCATGCAAACCAGCTAGGTGGCCTAGACTATTCATCCTCTTTCTGTACTTTCACTGAGCCAGAATCTAACATTATTATTATGTGTTAAATTGTAGTCCAAATCATTTTACGTCTGTTGGTAATTCTAGAATGAATTTTACCACAGGTTGTCGTTGGATGGCGAATGTCGAATTTACGCTGATTGCACTTCTGACAGCCCTCTTCAAACCGGAAATAAACAGCATCCTGAAAAATGAATGTGTCTGCCATTTCCTCAGCGCTGAAGTTCAACCGCCTGTGCCGTTACCAGCCAGGACTGAGCTGGGGTTTACAGTAGTGTGGCTCTTTATTGTAGGGTAAGGGCGGGTAAGAGTACGCGGGCGATAAGAGTACGCATCAGCTGTTTCGGTTGCTTAGCAACGCGGGTTTGTCGAGTTCATGAAGTGACATGAAGCCGCCAGTGCGTGCATGTCACCAACGGAACGTGGGCGTTGAGCGGCGACGCTGTTGAGTTTAAGGCGATGAATATTATTTTCGAGCGTTGTGATATTATTATGATATGGTACAATAATTTTGATACTTGGCAGTTGAGACAAGGTACATTTCCGTGATTGTTGTGGGAAACTTGTGAGGTTATCTGGGGAAATACTGTACAGTGCAATATTCTGTTTGCGAAGCTTTGCACAACGTTTCGGGGTTGTTTTGTGCGCGAATTGCATGTACGGTAAGAGGACGCACTGTTCAGGAGGGTAAGAGTACGCAGAATTATACATTAAATCGAATATACAGAAATATAGAATTATTAATCTATCGCTCAATGACGATTGTTTTGTAGGTATATCATCAATGGAGCACTGTGATGCAGATGCGTACCCGAAATTCTTCCAAATACGAGTTATTCTCCTTTTTGATTGTGCATTTTTTTTTAGAAACACACGACATGATTATTTCCTGATTTATAGACTTGAAAGATTTATTTTATGTTTTTCTTTTTGGATACTAGAATTAACTTAAATGCCTTCTGAGTTTGAAGTTAAGCATTTGGACAGTGCAAGCTGCATAGGTGTGTGTTCATATGCTTGCGTACTCCACCCGCCTGGCGTGCGTACTCTTACACACCCCATATGGTAAGAGTACGCAAGTGCAACGGTTCAGAAAATGTCAGTTTTAGACCACTTCCATTTACGCTGAAGGATCGTTGCCCCATGGGTTGATGGCTAATTCAATGAACTTTAATATTCCCTATTTGCGATTTCTTTCCTTCAAATATTAAACAAATGAGAGCAAGAAATCCACTAAGTGCGTACTCTTATACGACTTCACCCTAATGCTGGCCAGCGAGCGCGCCGTCCGGTGGTGGTTCGTGGCAACGCCTACGACCCAGCTCTCTGGTTTCCGTCTGCGACTGTGTGCTGACGCGTGGTGAAATGTTTAAAGGGACACTCCCACCTTAACATTAGTTTTGAGTTGAGATAGCCAAATTGGTGGCCATGGCCTGCAAATACCGGTTTGGGCACTCACAACATCGAAAAATGCTTTAATTCGAAGATATGGAATTTCAAACTTGCAGTTTTCGGATTCTAAGGGGCTAATGCATTGGAATGCCCCCTTAGAATTTGTGACGTCAGCGGAGATCTAACGATTTTTAAATCTTAGACTAAAACCATCGTTAACACGTGGTGGTATGCATATTTACGTCTGGACAACGAGTTGCGTTGGAGAGGCCGGAAATAGTGGCGATTTCAGGACCGCAAGAATGGACCGTCATTGGAATGATTCTTTTTTAAACCGTGCACTGTTTTCGGCTGGAATTTAATAGTTACTACAAAATATTTTGTAATTACGTTTTCACAAAGAATCAATGCCATCAGGGCTAAATTTTCAATACTATTGCATTTTGTCAAGAAGCATATAGTGCTGTTATATTGCAGTTTTAGCGCGTTTGTTACAAAATATGAAGCGAATTAGCGTCAGTGCCAAGAGTAAAGGCCTGGCTACACTATGCGTTTTCTGCGTGCGTTTTTGCAGGTTTGCGTGTTTTGCGTGATATCGTTCTAGGAAAAAAAGTTATAAACAATATAATTTTCACTTTGGTTATATACAAAAGCTAATATTACTCTTATGTAACTAAAATTTAAGATGAAAAACATCACAAAAACGTAATATCGTTCTTTTTTCTAGAACGATATCACGCAAAACACGCAAACACGCAAAAAACGCACGAAGAAAACGCATAGTGTAGCCAGGCCTTAATTCATCAGTGCCAGAAGTTGAGGGAAAGCTATGCTAATTGCTCTTGTCCATCCACTAAAATTTATTAAATATTTTGCTTTGTGTATTCCAAAAGGAGAGGGAACTATTTCATTTGTGCCTTCATGTCAGAATTGAAGGTGGATCATTAAATTTTCAACGCAGTTTACAAACAACCATTTGGTCTTTCTCGTTTATAAGCAGTGACTAAGAAAAGGTTGATCAATCCTGAAGTTCAGTCATCGTACCTCAACTTGGCAGCAAGATCCCCAAGGACGAGGATATATTTTATACATGTCCTGTAAATCAAACAAACAAGCATTTGGTCTTCTCGTATATAAGCAGTGGCTAAGAAAAGGTTGATCAATCCTGAAGTTCAGTCATCATACCTCAACTTGGCAGCAAGATCCCCAAGGACAGAGGATATATTGTAAACCTGTCCTGTTAATCAAAACATTTTTGTGCCTTCAAAGGCTTAAGTTATCTGTGGTGTGTTCGGAGTTAGGCTGTATGGCCATTTTTGTTGTGTTTATGTGGAGATTGAATATAACTGTGACCCTCTGCTTGTTTGTATACTTGCGGTGAAACAGGGAACAGCACATTCACATAACATACTCATCTAGCACCTAACTCATAGCTGTACCCTGCAGGATCTGTACTTGTTCATGTCTCGAGCATTAACAAAGCACTAAAGTAGCTTAGTAATCATTTCCCACATTTTCTGAGCATCTAACATGACATACAGCAGTGCAGAGCAGCTTCAGAGAAGAAACACTTTAAATGCACAGACTCACACCAGCCACCCAATGAGCCAGTTCCTCAGTTGACTGTTTCCCTGGACACAGCTTGGCAATGTGAGCTAACTTTTGGCAAGTTGAAGGTTAGCAGGTAAGATTGAGTTAGGGTGAGTACCTACCTATAACTGGGTGCTACTGCCATGCAGGTCTTGGGTAGGCTGCAAATATGTGTGATGATTGAGGTTAGGTCAGCTGTCAGGTTAGTCAGGTGCAGGTATGCTCATTGCTCAGGTCACATTTTTATGGACATTTGGCAAATTAAAAAACTAACAATCTGATCTAAGCTAACCTGACTACACATACACAACTACTGACTATAGGAACTGAGCACCTACCTACTTGTGCCTACATCTCATACCATGTCAAAGTAGAGTTCCTTGGTGGAAGATTACCCTCAGTACTTTTTATCCCAGCCCCTGTGAAGAAAACTAATACTTCTAAGCTCTGAGTCACTGCTGGCCATCCACAGGAAGAAACGCTGAGACTGAGAGCTTTGCCATTGTATATTGGACCAATAATGACTATCACAAATGACTATGAACACATAATATGATCACATCATTGCATGGATTGTCACATTGACAATTTTACTACAATCCTTTTTTCAAGAAATACAGTGATGATGATTAACATCAAAATCAACATAAAGTGGATTTAGTGATCCAAGCTTTCTCCTCCAGTAGCAATGGAATGATCACATGTTTCATTTGCCAGACACTGAGTACCTGATGCACATTACAACCTGCATAGCATCTAAGCATAGTAAAACTGCCCAAGTCCATTCATTCTAGATTTTAACTTGATAGTTAGCACCAATTTATTTTGCTGTTGTAAGTTATCATCCAATATTCAAATTTCATACCAATACACCAATATGTGCTCATCAGTCAACATTTTCTGGCATGATCCTGCTCAGCGTGCTCTTCAGTATTGCTCCAAGGTCTGCAATATTATAGCTTGTTTTTGGACAATAAGCTCTTTTAATTTTACTTTTTCTTGCTGATATATGAGCCCGATCAACTTGCGTTTATCAACCAAAATTTCATAACTTGTTCAACTTGATATTGATATTGCTCAGTAGTCAGGACCTCTGTCAGCCTCCTGTATACTTCAGATTGTTTTCAGTCAACATGCTTCTTAAATATGATATAAGTCAATCTTAAGGGATTCAAAACATCCAACAAAACGACGTACAAGAGCAAGAAAACCACCAGATAAACTAAAAAATGGCCTTGGAACAGAGCCAAGTGTGGTGCTCCATTTGTTTGTTTACAATGATTGTAGTGCTGATGTATTTTTAGGACTCTGAACGTCGGCTTATAAAAAAATGAAACGTTTTTACAAAAGTTGTAAGGCAAGTAATATTTATCTGAAAGAACTAAAATATTCAAAAGCCAAACACTATGAAATACATGAATCGGAACGAAAAAGTAACCCAAAAATCCAGCCTAATCACCGGCTCCTAAAACTGCAACACAATCAGCACTTTTCCCCGCAACTCGTTGTCCAGACGTAAATATGCTGGTGGTATACGCTGCTTTGCGCGCAACGTCTGCCGCACTTTAAGGCTGCCAAATTATTGCTTCCAAATAAAGTCGCTAGTAACAGGGGAGATCCCAAAAAGTAAACAAAAGTAAAAGCCTAATATCTTGAAAACCAGTGAATATTTTTCGGTGAAATTTGGTAGATATTCGTTTTCGCTCTTTCTGAACCAAGGGACATAACTTTCATGCCATTTCATTAACTTTTTTGAAGGTGGGAGGGTCCCTTTAAAAGAATATGCACTAGTCAAGTTCGTAATTGGGCCGATGCACTAAAATCCTCCTCGGCACAGGCCGTTGGTACGTAGTTATGTGTACTTCTGGTGTTACTCGGCCAGCTGCTCCTTAATCGATATTTTGTCATTTCTTCTTACATTTACATTATCCATTACACATAAGTAGTTGTCTGCTGGGAGGTGCTTGATCGTTTGTGAAACCCGTTTCCTAAACGTAACCCGTTTCATTTGAGAGTATGGTCGCACTGCCTCATGTTCAGCCTTAAATTTTCATATATTTTTTTCTCAGTCACTTAATTTCTAACTTCAAAGTTTCTTCATTATATGACTGGCGGATCGGCGTCCTATCAATGCCCCGGAACTGGAGGACCCTTTGCACCGAGCAGGTTCTACAGAGCTGTCGTGGTTCACGATGTCCCATATGCAGGAC